ACTTGATGTTAATACAGCTTTTTCACATATTAAAAATTTTTAAATTTTAAATTAAAAAAATTCTGTTTGTATTTTAATTTTTTTATTATTATTTTTTAAATTTTTCTTTGTGGGCCTAAGTAGGAATTGACTTTTTTTTTTTTTTTTGTATATTACTTGTTTTTTAATTATTTCAGGATGAGTATCGACCAGTTTGACCGACTTCCAGAGTCTATATTGTATGAAAATTAGGATTTATAAAATTGGTTTGGAATACAATATATAAAGAGAATTAAATTACTTAATTCTCTTTATATACATCATCCACAATATAATAAAACCAACTTCATATTTTTTAAACTCCCCCACCCTTGGTCTTTTGTTTTTCTTTTTATTTATTTTTGAATTTAGAATGAGGTTCAAACTTTGGACAGTTTATGAGAAATTATGTGCAATAAAGTAAAAATAAAGAGATAATTTATAAATGATATATGATAAAGAGATGCAGATATGTTATTACATACGGGTTTCTATTTGCAATGCACATTTTTAAACTAAATTAAAAACAATAATAATAATGAATAAAATAAGAAATGAAAACAATAATATTAATAATAGGTAAAATAAGAATAGAATGATTCATGATTAAGTATAAGAAATACATTTCAAAATGAGAAAAGCTAACTGAATTATATGTCTAGGGTGAGGTTCGAACTCGCCACATTTCCATTTGCAAAGCAGCGTGCTGACCACTCAGCTATCTGTGATAGCAGTGTTTGTGAAAAATAATGTAACAAGTAGAAGTCACTGCAAAGGTAATTTAATTAAACTTCAATAAATGATTGCTGTATGTCACAAGTTGTAACTTTCCTCCAAAATTTTATTATTGTATTTTATTGAATACTCTTTCACAGTCAACTGCTTTATTTTAGAAGTTGTTATATTGCTGAAGTTAGTTTTTGGTGTGTTTAATATTGGGATATTTATAGAGCTTTTTATTACACATGATATAGCCAATATTTATAATAATTAAGGAGAATTTTGTAAGGCAGAAACTTTGATTTCGTAGAAACTGTAATTTATTTAGGTTCCTATTACTTAGATGTTATAAACAGGTGAAGCATATGCATATACTGGTCAGATCATTGCTTTATAAATATACAGTTTTACCCTTTAATGAGAATTTGAAATTTATACCAATATACAGTCGATTCTGCTTAATTGGGACACCGCTTAATCGGGACAGCCACTTATTTGGGACTAATCTCAAAGAACAGATACCAAACCAAGAAGCCAATAGAAAATTTATATGTTTAATTGGGACAACATTCCGCTTAATTGGGACAGTAAATTTAAGATCACGGTACATATTACGAGTTTGTTACGGAGCGTTGTCTTACAACTTATTACGCATGCGTTGCCTTACAGCTTATTACGCATGCGTTGCCTTACAGCTTATTACGCATGCGTTGCCTTACAGCTGATTGATTGTGTATGCATTGCATCATAGGCGAGCGCAAGGGCGTTCCTATTCAGTTACCATTACACCTCGTACGTGACAACTGTTTTGATTGTTGCATATTTATTCACTCACAATACACATCGCGCATGAACAGTGCATAAACTTATTGTTCAAAAATTTAACCCTTGCCAAAATGCCAAGAAATGATTTGACACTTTCTAGCAAAATTGCTTTGCTAGATAAAATAAAAAGCCAGCCACCTAATACAAGTTATCGCCGGCTCGCTGAGATAACTGGAGTACCAAAATCTACCATTTTGCGTGTCTTACAACAAGAAAGTCAACTGCGTGAGGAATTGGTTTTACAAGAAGGACAAGCAGGAACATCCAAAAGGAAACACGAGGGAAAGGATCCAGACGTCGAAGAAGCACTAGGTCAATGGTTTTCTATTGTTAGTGGCAGAGGCGTAAATATCAATGGTCTGATATTGAAGGCGAAGTCAGAGGAGTTAGCTAAAAAACTGGGCCACAATGATTTCAAAGCAACTGATGGGTGGTTATTGCGATGGAAAACAAGACACAACATTAAATTTTAAAAAGCGCACGATGAAAAGGGCAGTGCCGACAAGGAAAGTTCCAAACAGTGGAAAACTACGAAAATTCCTGCTTTTTTAGAGAATTTTTGCGCTGATGACATTTACAATGCTGATGAAACCGGTCTTTATTATCGTGCTACGCCAGACGGTTCCTTATGCTATAAAAACATTGCGCTGACTGGTTATAAAAAGGCAATGGACCGCATTACTGTGTTATGCTGTACAAATATGTCATGTGCTGACAAACGAAAGCTACTGATCATAGGAAAAAGTGCTAGACCTCGATGCTTTAAGGGGTTGAACATGGAGGGTTTACCAGTGGAGTACCATGCAAACAAAAATGTGTGGATGACTTCTGAAATTTTTCGAAATTGGCTTGCCAGTTGGGACCGAAATTTACAACATAAAAAGAGAAAAATTTTGCTGATTGTTGACAATTGTGCGGCACACCCTCATTTAGACAATCTACAAAATATACAGCTGGAATTTCTTCCTCCTAATACCACATCTTTTATGCAACCAATGGACATGGGGGTAATAAAAAATTTTAAGACTTTGTATCATGGGAAATTGGTTAATTACATATTAGAATCCATTGATGAAAATTTATTAACAACTTCCACAACAGCCAGAGAGATAAGTTCAAAAATTTCCCTTTTGCAAGCAATACAGTTTGTTGCTGATAGTTGGCGAGCTATAAAAGCCACTACAATACAGAACTGTTTTACTAATTGTGACTTTAAACCCCTTAAAATTTCCAAAAATTTAAGCAACGAAGAAAATGAGAATAGGTTGCAAGTTCCTATTTGTATTAACTATGAAGAATTTTCAACAATAGATAACAATTTACTATGTTACGATGATAATGAAAACTGTGAGGATTCAATCATAGAAGGTATTAAATCAAAACATGGAAAATTAGACTAAGATGACGATGATGATGAGTCACCTGTGCCTGTGACTAACCAGGAAGCAAAAAAATTTATTGCCACGTTACAGCGTTATTTTATGCAGGAAGAAAATGAAGGGAGCCCTGCATCCGCACTGAATATTTGCGCTGATTTTGTAGAAAAGAAATGCTACAAAAACAAAAAACAGACTACACTTGACTCATTTTGGTAATTTTAATTTAGAATTTTAGATAAATATTAATACATAATTTTCCCATTTGTAATTTACATTTATTAAAATTATTGAAAAAATATGTATTGTTTAATTTATTACCGATTATTGGCCTTAGTTTCCAAAACCAAATAAATTTGTTTAAAAAACTGTGAAATTCGCTTAATTGGGACAAAATGCCCGGTCCCGATGTGTCCCAGTTAAGCGGAATCGACTGTATATGGTTTGAGAAATCTGAAGATGGCTTCAACAATGCTGATTATTTTATTGCTGTATACAGTTATGATATTTCTAAGCAAAAACTCATCTCTGTGTTGTTCTGATGCCATATTAAAACGGGTAAGCAAGAAGGTTTTCTGATTATGACACATCTTTAATGCAACCAATAAGAACTCTGTCAGCTATTGGCTGTTCGTTCACGTTACGGACGTAAAAGCTGAACAGGAGCAAACTCAGTTTTACGTCTTCTGCGTCATGCGAATTTACGCCGGCGTCAAAAACGTTGCGTCAACTATATTGCGAGCGTACTCGTGTGAACGGACCTTAAATTGTCATTACATTTTTATGTATTACAGAAAATAAAAATTATTTTGGAAAATTTATATTATCCTCCTTATAAATTTTGAAATAAGCATATTCTTTTTTAGGATTTCAGTTGCTTTTGATTTAATATAATGTGTTGTTTAACATCCCACTTTGTGAAAGGAAACAATAAATGGTCTCTGAACAAATTTTTCATTGATTATTCTGCATTTTCAATGCTTAATATGTAGTGGTGCATTTCATCCTAAGTAGAAGCAATAAGACCAAATATGTCCAAACTTTTTCAAATATATAGTCCGTGTTATTAACTTAATTTTTAAACTCAGGATTTCATAATGAAATCTTGACAGTAAAAGGCACTTTTACAGCAGTTAAAAATTTGCTTTCCTGAAGCATTAATTCCATTTTATTTTTATATGAAAATTGCTTTGTATCTTTACTGGAAACATAATTAGTTAAGCTGCAGACTTTTTTAACTATACTTTTAAATGCGTATTTTCATACCAGATTATTCAAGGTGAAATTTAAGTCTGTCTCTTATTCCAGTTAACAGAAATACATCAGCATGCATTTGGATAAACCATCAGCTAATGCTTTATAATCAAATACTTATTTCATTGATTCATTTTGTTTGTTCTTTTAGAATGTAAAAAGCTTTTTTTTTTCATCAGCATACCATTTTTTTAATTCAATGTGATTTTAATTAGTTAATTTTAGTAATTTAGTTCAATGTTTTGTAGTAGAATTTCATCCAAAATATATCGTAGATGAATATGACTAAAAATACTTATTACATTGTGTCTGAATGAAAAATATTTGTTATGGAAATTTCTCATTTATCCTAGGTTTTATTCCCTTCCCTTCTCTAGGATTGCATTAATGAATTACAGTAAAACATTTGGTAGAACAAAAAATTGGATAATAATCAGCTTCATTCCATATTCCTTGAATTACATTCTATGTGACTATAACCATAGTGTCTATTATATGAGATTTTTAGATGCTGCGGATTGTTCTTAATCTGGTATAATGGGAAGGCATTTGGATGAAATCTGCTTTTCACATTTCTGATAAGACTTTTTGAAAGTGTCTTGTTGGTATCCGAGTGATTTCAGTGTTTGAATTTCTTTTTCATAATGCGTTTTTAAAAGTGACATTCATATCTAAGATATAATTTCAGAATTCTGGATGCTTTTCATTTACACTTCTTGCATATTAATATAAATTTATGTTGATGTATGTTATAGAAGTCCATTTTGTGTTTAATATGATTAAAAAGGAAAATATAATTCTTTACAGGTTGGGCAGAGTCACGGTGGATTTCTTGGTGTTCTACAGGCTGGCCTTTCAAGAGCTACATCCCACATTTGGTTTGAACGCAGTGAAGTGAAAGACAGAGAACTGGTAGCTAAAAGGTATCTATTTGATGCTAATGGTGAAGAAATGAAACAGTTCAGTTTCACTTCAGTTCAAAATAACAATTCAGTTCAAAATACTTGGAATTGGGAAATCTGCAATATGTTCTTTTATAAAAATTGCTTTGATGAATAAAAATTCAAATCTCTTTTTATTATATGAAAAAGCAAAGCCCTTTTCAGATTTACCAGACATCATAAAAGTGATTTATCTAACTCTGAATATTGAGGGAGCAGTCGTTATCTTGGATTCAAATTAACAAAATCTTAAAGAGAAAATGACTTATTATCATACATACCCATTTCCTTTGATATAGTTGCAGCAAATAATTGATTTTAATGATATCTCTTAGATGTGTAGTGATTGAATGGTGTGCAGTTTGTGTCGTTAAGTCTGCATACCCATTAAGGTCATACGTGCTGAGAAACCAATAAAATAATATTAGCAGAAATAATGGTACCAATAATAGTCCTTTCTGTTAGATTAAAAAATTTCTAAAAATTTTATTTTTTTAAGTTTAGAAATATATGTGGTAGTCATCATATTGAAAAAGAATGTTAACAGACCATTCTAAACATTGAAAAAATCTTCAGTGCTATATTCAAATAGAATGACAAACTAATTAAAAGATTAAATTCAGGTGTAAAGTGTGTACTTCTTTTCAATGAAGTAGAAAAATTGTTATCTAAGGTAGAAAATATTTTGCTATGTTAGATTTCATTTATTTTTAAGATAGAAATTTAACTCAAAGCTAGCTTAAGTTCCTCGTTGCTGTTTTATCATTAGTAGAAAATTTTTTCATGCCGACAGAAAAGTTAATAATGAGATGTTTAAAATTAAAATAAGCGTGTCATAAATATTCTGATTTGTAATTTCATTGGATACTAAGTTAAGAAAAAATATTTCGTTTTTGGATTGAATTATGTTTTATGTTGTCATCTTCAAACAAACTGAGTTTTTGAAATTCTTTTTGTATACAGAAATGAGAAATTTAGCAATAATTTAGAAACTTAAAAAATTTAGCAATAAATTATAATTAAATTTTTAGGGGGTAACATAGATGAAAGGGAGAAAAGAAGTAACTATACTACTAGTTTAATCAGTTGTCTACCAAAATAAAATTTAAAAGCTTAACATATATATAATATTGTTACCATAGGTTTAGGACAGGTATGTCAAACTCGCAGCCCTTGACTCATTTATCTATGGCCCTTGGATTGCTCTGAGAAAATAACAAAAAAGCTGAGCTAAAAAAAAAAAAAAAAAAAAAAAAAAAAAAAAAAATTAAAATAAATAAATAAAGGGACTCTTGTTTTATATAAAATGTGTGCCAAGTAACTTCAGCACTGAAAGACTGTGAAAGACTGAATTCAAAGAAAAGATTCACAATATCAAATCTATTGAAGATGAACTGTCTCTGTTTTATGCCTCCATTTTTTTTAACAATCTTGAGAAAGCATCAGCCCATTTTATGGATGGAACTAATACAAATTATGTGCGACTTGACGCTAAAGAGAAAATTCAGTGAAGTGGGTGTTCCGAAATTTTACAAATACTTGCCTGAGCGCTTTCAGCAGTTTGCATTGTATGCCATTTCCACATTCGGTAGTATGAACAGTGTAAACAACTTTTGTCAGTTATGAAAAGGAGCAAGATCCATGTCAACAGAGATTCATCTAACCTCAGTTTTGAAAATCACTAGTGTTAGCAGCATGTCTCCAAACATCTGAAAGCGGGTTACAAGAAAAAGATGCTAAGTGTTGTGAAAGAAACAATAGGTATCCACCTGTTACCCAGATTTCCTTAACATCTTTTCATTTTTTAAAGACCTAAAGTAAGATATTACATTTTTATTCACTTTTTAAGTACATCATTAACTCCTTAACTGTGGCATAAAATTTAGAAAATGAATACTTGGTTTAAAAAAAAAAATTTAAACACAATAACTACTTTGAAGCTATATTTGTATATTTTGCATTATGATGTGTTAGTAGATCAACATCTTCATTGTTCACAAAATGCAGATTTTTTTTATTATTATCTAAAACCTATCATGCATTATAACATTATGGAAGAATAGAGTTTCAACACATTACTATTTCGACCAAAACATCTCTGTCTACAACTGGCTTCTTTACAATACCTTGTAAAATATGCAAGGGCAGAAAAAATTATATTTTATTTTTATTTGTTGGAACCCACATTTTTGCTCTGCTTTTTGATTTTAAGGTTTGGCTTTGAATGATCATATCTGTTAGTTTCTATGGTGATAATGTGCAATATATTGTTATCAGAAAACAGCTCAAAATATTCAGTTTCTTGTGTGAAATTTGAGGTATCAATTAATGCACCTACTTGTGTTGGCCAAAACGGAAATGTTGGAGAGGCAGAAGAAAGGTTATCCAGACATAACAGCTTCTAGTCACTACATAAAGAAATATCACTACCATCATCACTTTCTGTATATTCATCAGTAGAAATATCGGTATGTAATAAGAGTAATCGGTATGTGTAAGAGCCTAAATTATATTCCTCGTAGACAGACGTCTGATGTCTGAACCAGACATTGCCCCCCCCCAAAAAAAGAAACTTTTTGGTATAAAATTCATGGGAAAACAACCGAAATAACAACCTAAACTAAATATATGAAAGCAAAACTCTCATTCTCAACACATGTCTATGTGTAGCTGAGCACACCCACGCTTTCTTCCGACTGAATTCAGTGAAAACGTAGGACCAATAATGCCACCTATTATGAAAATGGTGAATTAAGTCTTGAGTGAATATCTGAAAGTGAAAGCACACTCACTTAGGGCTGTACAAAATAGAAACACTAATTTTTCTTCTGCCTGAAATCAGCTCTGGCCATTACAAATACTGTACGTAGTAGTTGCCCAAACTGAGTTTGTGCAACACTGGCAAGAGTATGTTAAGTATGAAAATGGCCCTTTTTCCCTTCTGGCTTGCACTCTTGTACATTGATGACTATAAGGCCACTTAAGGTACTGAGTTTGACTCCCTAGCTATTAGGTAAGATTTTATGTATTTATTCACTTTTTAAATACAGTATTAACCCTTCTGTTCCAGGCATGTCACATATGCATTGGTAGCAAATGTTATCTCATGGTTGGGTATGTCATAATCAAACACTGTTTAAATTTATTGTGTAGGCAGTGTAACATATATAACTCTTTAGATGGAATATTTAATTAGTATTTTTTGATGCCACTAGGTGCAGCTGTATATTATGAAATTTATCGAAAGTGAAGTAGTTTGACATTCACTCTTTTGCAGTGTTTTTTATTTCTGATTTTTGCTTCAGATGAGAGTGAGATCCCTGCATGTTGAGCAGTGTAATGGCTCTTACACTGCTCAACATGGCTAATTAGTTGATATAAGCAAATGCACATGTTCTTGATATTTCAGATTACTTTTTTTTTTTTTTTCTGATATAGCGGGGTAGATGGTCTGTCATTTTATAGGTTTTATTTATTCCTCTTGATTTTTTCTAGTGCTAAGAGGCAATGTTTTCTACCGTTTAGTGAGATATTTTTTAGACCTAAATAGTTAAATGAAAATGGTATTTAACAAAAGAAGAGTATACATGAACGGCAAAATGACAAGGGATTCTTTCTGATAACAATGACAGTGATGATATTTTTGGAGAAATGGAAAGTGATAGTTATAGTGATTCTAATATGAACATATTTATTTGCTTATATATGTTTGTTTGAGATAAGTCAATTATATATGCTGTCTTTTTATGAAAGACATTTTTAATAATTTTGATTAATGTATTATGTTAAATAAAATCTGTGATTGTATGGATATTTTTTCATATCTATTCATTTGAGGTAAGTCAAAAATATTACTCAAGAATTGTTTACTGTTACTTTTGTAAAATTTTTAAGGAAAATATGATTGTGAAGTTTTAAAATGTATTCTGATAACTGTTTGAGTGCACCTTTCATAACAAGCCAAATATTGGAACAGATGGACCAGAAATTTATGTGATTCTTTTTTTTTCCCAAGTTAAGTTTAGCAGTGTGAATTGCCCATCCCTACAAGATAGTGCATCCTGTGAACATGCCATTCTAGGAGAGTGGTTCAATGACTGGGATGCCTGTCATGAATGGGTTAAATAGGAAAATGGCCTTTTTTCCCCTTTTTTGGCCAGAACTATTATATACTGATGACTGTTTGGTGCACCTGAGGTACTGAGTTTGACCTGTCTGATTTAGAATAATTTTCAGAATTTTTTTTAAAACCAGGATTAAGATTTTTCCCTATTGGTTCATTTTCACAGTTGATGGCTTATAATTTTATCTACTGTTTTTCCATCACCTATGTTTTCGTTTTATATGTGTGTACATATATTTCTGATGATTTGTGAAGTGCTTTTTCTATTCATGTTGTACAAAAGTGATTGATAAAAACATTGGTGAATTAATTCATTATGTATTTTTAGTATTCTTCTTTCCTGTAACTTTTCTCTTAGGTAGATAGATGTGAAAAGTGCTTATATTTCACTGTTTATCAAAAAGATAGTAGAAAGGGAGAATTATCATTATTTTATCTGAGAATTAACTTTACTTTTCTTCACTGAAAGAGGAACCATAGTAACTATACCAACTAAAGAGTTAAAAAGTATTTTTACAAAATATGCAAACCCACAAGACAGTCAGCCACATATATATTGAAAAACAACTACTATGGGGGAAATTCATCTTTCATTATACAAAGTCCGTAAACCGGACTCATCGAGACTTCAGCAATTCCGAATTAGGTGTTTTTCCGGATTATGTATGATCAATTTAAATCTGGTAAGATGGCATGCAGAAATTATACAATTAAAAATATGAAACCGTAATTTATGAAATGAAGAGCAATTATGATCTAAAGCAAGGATGTCAAACTCGCGGCCCACAACAAATATTTTTGCAGCCCGGCCAATATATTGGCAAATAATAAAATAACATATCGACGAAGAAAAAAATGAAATTTTTACTGCTAAGTAATTAACGATAATTTATTCAGTGTTGTTAGATTACTCACAGCGAGCTGACACACACACTACTTAAATTACAAATGCGTGTGAGTAGCTTGCGTTCAGCTACCTTCGGCTTTTGGGGGACACGTGCGCTCAGAACTTGTACGCATCCCCCGATAGCCGAACTCATGGTCTCAGTTTTCCAATCATAGTTTTGTACGATATATTGGTGCATGCATGTGCATGCACTTTGCTTTATTATTAATTATTACTTAATTCATATTGTTACGGATTTCATAAATATTTATTTATTTAGTTTTTTTTATTTAGAATTGTAATTAGATTTGCTTCATGTTGCCTTAGCAACGCAGACGATTTTTGAAAAGATAGCTGCATTGGAAGGTTAAAAATAGAACAGCGCGTGCATTTAATACCTAATAAATAAATATCTCGTAATTGCTGTTGCCATCCACAAAAATTCAGATATTTATAGATGTTTCCAGTATATTCGAGAAATTAATTATAAAGCTTATAAAAGCCGAGAACAAACAACTCATCTCAGTAGTAGCTGTAGTTCTAGCAAACTGTTTGTTTACTTAATGCTGTGATTGATTTGTAGCAATTTCGCTGTGAGATAGAATTAGTTTCTCTGTTTTGAATTGATTTTTGCTAAACGTTTGACATTTTGTGATATTGTTAGAATATTTTTGAAGAAATATTTCAGCATTTTGATTTATCTCATGTGGAAAGAATAAATTTTTGTTAACTTTTTAATGTTAACCATGTTTATTCCAGCCCTTTGTATTCAGTATGTCTATATCAAAACCAAGTGGTAGTAAAAATAAACGAAAAATTGCTGACGAACATGGAATATTCCAAGTAAAATGGAAATTAGAATATTTTTGCTGTGAAATAAAAGATAAAATAATCTGCTTTATGTGTAATAATACTATTAATGTACGAAAGTTATATAATATTAAACGTCATTACGAACAACACAAATCGAAATATAACCAATTACGAAGGATTAATGAGAGAAGAAAAGTTGAAAGAGCTCAAGTTAGGAGTGAAAAAGCAACAGTCCATGTTTAGTAAAGTATTGCAAGAAAGTGAAGCGGCGGTACATGCAAGCTACGTCTTGTCTGAGTTGATAGCTAAACATTCGAAGCCTTTTACTGATGGTGATTTCATCAAGGAATGCCTAATGAAAGCTGGAGAAATTGTTTGTCCTGGAAATGAAGGCTTTTCAATCAATTTCATTGTCTCGAAATACAGTTGCGGAAAGAGTTACTGATTTAGCCGGGAATTTAAGTCATCAGATCAAAGCAAAAATCATCTAGTTTCGAAAGTTTCTCCATTGCCTGTGACGAGAGCACGGACATTATTGTCAAAGCTGAATTAGCAGTGTTTCTTCGTTCTTGTGACAAGAATTTTAACATTTTTGAGGAATTACTGGAACTAATACCGATGCCTGGTACTACCACAGGAGAAGATATATTTACTTGTGTTTTTGGACTTCTGGAGAAATACAATCTACCTTTGGCAAAATTAAATTCTGTAGCTACAGATGGCGCTCCATCAATGACCGGGAAAAACAAGGGCTTCGTAGCATTACTAAAAAAAAAACTTGGTGAAATTCACGGTTCAAACATTCATCATATGCATTCTATTATACATCAAGAAGTTCTATGCACGAAAGTAATAAATATGGAGAATGTTTTGTCATATATAAAAAAAAAGTTATAAATTTTATAAGATCTCGAGGTTTAAATCAGCGTCAATTCACTGCTTTCTTTAAGTGAGTTAGATAGTGAATATTCGGGTTTGTCCTACCATACCGAGGTACGTTGGTTATCTTGCTCCAAGATTCTCAAACAATTCTGGGATTTGAAAGAAGAAATATGTCAGTTTTTAAAAACGAAAAATCAAGACGTAAGTTTGTTTTACGATCCAATATGGATACAAGATTTATCTTTCTTGGTTGATATAACCAAACACTTAACCGATTTAAATTTATCGTTACAAGGAAAAGATCATATCATTACGAACATGTTTGACATAATTAAAGCATTCAAATGTCAACTAGTTCTTTGGGACAAACAACTTAAAAATGAAGATTTGACGCACTTCCTGACGTGCAGCATGAACAAATCAAGTTTAGATGATGCTTGTTCGTATCAAAAATATGCAGAAAAAATTACAAATTTAACAACTGAATTTGAAACGAGGTTTAATGATTTTAGTTCCCTTGAAGACAACTTTTTTTTGTTTTCTTTGATTTTCTCAATAAGTATTGACTCAGTACCCAGCCATATGCAAATGGAGGTGATTGAGATTCAATGCAACTCAGATTTGAAAGCAAAATTCATTGAAGTGGGCGTGCCTGAATTTTACAAATATTTACCAGCCAGGTTTGAAAATACTCGAAAATTCGCATATGAAATTATTTCGATGTTTGGTAGCACTTATCGGTGCGAGCAGTTATTTTCAGTCATGAAAGGTAATAAGTCTCCTATTAGAAACCGTATTAATGATGCTCACCTTGGGTAAGCGTTGAAAGTTATCACTGCAAACAAAATTTCTCCCGAAATAGGAAAGATAATAGCAGAGAAGAGATGTCAAGTATCAGGGCATAAACATTAAATTTTTCTTGTTCTTTTCAATATAAATATATATATATGTTTATTATTGTATTATTCGAAATAAATCTACGTTTCTATGAATATTGATTTTTTTTTTTTTTTTTTTTTTTTTTTTTTTCCCGGCCTGCCTAAAGTTAAACCTTGTTTGTTTGGCCCAAGTGTACCTATGAGTTTGACATCCCTAATCTAAAGGGTATCAAAATTTAAAAAAAAAAAAAAAAAAAAAAAAACTTAATATTTATTTGTTTACTTTATTAAACATTTCTTTCAATGTATTGTTTAAGTTGCTTTGTTTTTTGTGCTAATACTTTCTCTTTAATTCTATAAACAGACATAATTTCTTGTTCAATTACAAAGTTCAACTGTTCAAGTCCTGTAATTGCTGTGTTAAGAATAGAATACCGACTAACTTGTCAATCGAAATTTTTTTGTTTTCAATAACCTCTCTGTCACTTTCTTCACTATCGAAAGCGCACGTGGGTAAACACTTTACGCACATGCATAGCAGACGCCCGCATTAAACATACATGCATAAACACATTATGCGCATGCGTAAGTGTGTGGCTTTGAGGTCCGGATAATGGACGTCCGAATTACAGACTTTGTACTGTAATTATTATATATTATTAAAGTATCATTTATCATTAAATTGTTAAGGTCACTCTCTTTTGCTTTAATAAGCAGTATTCAAGTTTTAAAATTATACGTTATTCATAAATACATAAAGCCTCAGCTATTAGACATCCACTGAGAAGATTTTGATTCTTCACTATAAGGAAAAATTTCATTGTAAAGTTCCAGCCTGAATGTTAATGAAAGTTTTTCTTTCCTCCCTTCATGTGTATGTGTTACAGTTTTTAGAGATTTTTAGTAAATCAAAATTAAAAATCCACTGAAAAGAAAATGTTAGGTAGTAAAATACTTATCAATAGATTTTTGGTATTAAATACCTTCAAAATTTGGGGAAATGTTTTATTGCCTGAATTGTTATTACTGTGTATTGTTTTATTGCCCACAAGTTGGTCTTTGAAATGATTTAAATAGATTGGAATCTTGGATCGGTAGAATTATGCTATGCTGATAAATTAATTTAAAAATTACTTAAAATACTGCTAAAAATTAAAATTTTGCATTGTAATAATACCTTTACTTTTCTTACAGGCTAAGGGAACATGTGGAAGATGAAACAAAATTACCTATTTTAGTATTTCCTGAAGGTTGGTATTGACTTTTTAATGCAAGCTAATTAATCTTTTTTTTTTAATCATTAAAATAATGCTATGCATTCATAAGCTTTTAAACTGTCACCTAAATAACAAATCATTTTGCTTATCATGTCGCCTTTTCAAATCCAGCTGAATTCCTGTAGTTTCATGCTGATCATCTGCATTTTAATTAGCAACCCAGACAGCTGTAAAATGAGTTTTCATTCTATAGAATGAGATCTTTTTCTCAAAATCTTGCGTATTTTTTGAATTCTTTAGTGTTGACCATCCAAATTTTAAAATTGTTTTGTACTTAATATAAAATGTTATTGATCAGATCAGTTTAGAAATGCAATGAACATTTCAGTTTGGCAAAATAAGAAGGATTATAAAATGTTAAAGATGTGCTCTGATAAAGATTGTGAATCTAGTAAGGAGAAGTTAATTTACATACAGGTTTTGAAGTATTTAATGTTTGTTCTAATTTTAGAGATATCCATTTCCCTCTGTTAAGAACTTTTTTTTTTAATTTGCCTGGGAAAAAAATAATAGTTTGCATGTTAAAAAAGGAAGCAGACATAATGCATCTGAAAAAGTACCATTAACAAATGCTAGTTTTGCTATGTTATTCATAATACATGCAAGAACCTGATTTTGCACGGTAATGTAAACTAAGGGACCTCATTTTAACAGTATTCTTATATCTAAAATGGCATCTGCAAATTTGCCGCGTGTTTTTCACAAGTCATCGGTTTATTTTTAGGACCAAAGAGGATGTACCCAAATTGAAATGAAGAATGTAAGGGGCTTTAGCCAATTAAAATCAGAAGTAAAACTAAATTTAGCCCTAAAAAAAATTTTGTTATTTTGGTATTGCTGGTTGCAAGAAATTTTACTGTAATTATTGTATCACTGTGCATGACTTGTAAGAAAGTTAACCAGAAATTCTTTATCATAGTCTTCCAGTTTGTTAGTGTGCTAAATGTTTGTGTAGTTATTGAATGTATATATTAATATAACTAAAAGCTAAGATTGTTGAGTTAATGCAATAAATTGGCAAATCTTATTTACTTATTACTCCCATGTGTAAGCTCTGATTTAATTATAAATGTTTCTGTATTGATTTACTCAAGTTAGCTGAAGTAATTTTTTTTTATATAGTCGTGAAATATTTTTATAGAATCATATCAAAATACTATTTTTTTCTTTATTATTTCTGCTTATAACTGAATTTTCTGTATTATCTGTAGGATTTGTAACATTTACATTTATCTCTTGGGTACACTTTTATCAGGCTGAAGATGAAACAGTAATCTCTCAGAATATGATTTTTTAAAATGCATTTTGGATTATGCTCTTTTATTACTGAATGCTATGTTTAATAGTTATGTGTGAGTGAAATGCTGATGATTGACATGCAAAAATGAGATCTTACATGGTATGATTTGGCCTTTGTTTCTTTATCATTAACAACGTTGACATTAACTCATTTTGTGTGTCTTTAATTCAGATTTGTGTTTTAAGCTAATAGAAAAGTGTTTTTTTATAGTGAATAATATTAAATTTTGAATGTATTAATATATTTAATGTGAAATGTTAATGTAAAATAATAATTTATATATAGGCACTTGCATCAATAATACATCTGTAATGATGTTCAAGAAAGGAAGTTTTGAAGTTGGTGGCACAATTTACCCAGTTGCTATAAAGGTATTGATAGTACTTTTTCCTTATGTTTCAGTATTTTAAAAATTTCCCTTATGTTTCAGTATTTTAAAAATTATTTCCATATCTTTACCATATCAGAAATGCAGCATAACTTTATTATATGTTTTTGTTTCCAAAGTTGTTCCCAGTTGTGAGAATGTTGTTGCAGTTTTTCTTTTCTCCTTGTGCTAATTGTTAAAAATTATATTTTAATAATTAGAACACAAAATGAAGTAATGAACCTTTTTAAATATTTTCATGATGACTAAACTGTTAATTCTGGTGGCCCCATATTGTCATTATTTATTGTATATTTGCTACTGTTAAAGCCTAAGTATGGTACATCCTATGTTTTACTGTTAAAACATAGTTTTCACCAAAGTGGCTTGGTAAAAGTCCTAATTATGCTTTAATATGATTCCATTTCAGACTTTTACCAAGGCTTTGCAGTAAAACGAGGGATTGCTTATGATAGGATTTTCCATTCACAGATATATTGTATACAGTGTGTCCCCAAAAAAGTTAAAACACACTTTGAGTTTTTAATTGGTACTGTAAAAGTGATCATGATTTAAGATTATGTCGATGAAACTGTCTTACAATTATTTTTTAAAGAGTTATAAGAAATAAAAAAAATGCAATATTAATGCCATTTCACAAATAAGATCCCATCTGAGAAAGCTGAATTAATGCACAGTTCTCTTGATAACTACTGAAGATATTTCAATATTTTTTTTAATTTTGGCAGTAGTTAAAAAAAATAAATTGATAGCTCAGGAAAAAATAAAAATTAAGAAATTTAAAAAATAAGAAAAATGTAGTATGTTTTCTTTAATACATTTAATACTTCTTACTACCTGTTACAACAAGTTGACTGTTATGGCATTTTGAATTACAAAGTAGATCAGCTCATTTGCATAAACAAATCTTCATAGTACACTTCTTTAAACAGTTGCATTTTCTGAGTCCTTGTCCCCCAATTAAAGAGTTTTTTACTACTTCACATACACTTATTTCTCCTGTACCAACTTCTTCGATGTTGAAAAAATTTTCTTTGCGAAAGGTAACCTGGTTTCTTGTGTACAGTGATTTTAATTTACCAAGCTTAGTACGAGAAACATAAAACTCCTCATCTTTAATGTCTGTAATAATGGCAGTTGCTGATTTTGAATTCATTTTCGATCTATCAATATCAGGTACTTTTATTTTTATCTTTATCTTAGACTAGGTTTTGGAAAGGTTTTAGTAGATGCAATCTTCATCTTTGCCTGCTTCTCAAGTCCTTCCTTAGCTGTCTTTCAAAACACTTTCATATTTTGAACTTTGTATGGGTTGTGAGTTTGTGCAATTTACTGATGTTTTTTCAAGTTAAAAACTGGGCACATGAGGAGAATAACAATTACAAAAATAATGATTTCTCAAAGAAGGTAAATGTTTTAATTACCAGTGTTTTTTGCTTTTTAAATTTTATTGATTAATTGCTCTTGTATGGAATTCTTAATGCATATTCATTTTGAAAATGGCTATTGCCCTTCTGCACCTTAGCTTGCCAGAAAATTAGTTGTCACTGAGTTCATGAATGCTATCTAAAGGTGCCATTGAGTTCACAATTTTTTGTTGGTAGTATGGATAATTAGAAAATACCATAGATATATATTAATTCTGAGGTGACCGGAATGTATGATATTTCCTTTTCATTTCCCCTTATGCTTCAAGGGGGGAGGAAGTTGTCATTTTGCTGCATAATCCTTAACTCAGATTCTTTTTTTTACTATTTGTGAAGTATTTCTTCTCATTTTCTTGTCTTTAAGTAATGCTTGAAAATTCTTCAAAAATTGTAAGGTAGATTGAATAAAACTGCTTTTTTAGCTGTTTTACCACTCCAGTTTTTTCAAAGTGCCTTATAAACTTTTGGAGACACTGAATCAATAAGAGTCAGCACAAGTTGTATAAATTTGCAGGACTAGTTTCATAGGTTGGAATAGAAATTTAAAAAACTAGTCTGCAAATTCATGTTGATTATTATTATTATTATTATTATTTTTAAATTATTTTATTTATTTATTTATTTATTAATTTTTTTGGCTTCAGTATCTCCAAAAGTTTCAGCTGCAGGAGTGGCCATTTCATCTTTTCCATTTTTGAAAGCTAACTTGAACATATTTTTATTTTATAGAATTTATTGTAGCCTTAATTTATGTATTAATTTTTTTTATTATTTAAAGTTTCAGTTAACATTTGTCAGTGATGAATTAAATTTTCCTTGTTTACCACATTTTGGGATAGATTTTAGATCTTAGTATATATCCTGTATAAAAAAGTGGTAGTCAAATCATTATTATCATTTTTTTAAATGCTTAAGTTCACATCTTCTGTCTATTACATTTTCTCAGTTAAAGCTTCAGGTTATTATATATGCACTCTAGTAATCAAAGTAAGTAGATTGTTTTTATGTGTTGTTTAAAATAAAACTCTGTATTTCAGTATGATCCACGATTTGGTGATCCATTTTGGAATAGTAGCAAGCAGAGTTATATGCAATATTTATTGATGATGCTTACTAGCTGGGCTATTGTATGTGATGTGTGGTATTTGCCACCCATGTCTCGCAAGGTAATGTTTTCATTTTGCACAGTTTGAGTCCTTTAAGTTATTAATTAATGTTTCATAAAAATGATATTAGTGGAAAATGAAATGATATTGATGTACAATTTAAGTTTTCCCTAATGTTAAAAAGTCAAAATATTTTTTCATGCATCTGGAAGGGGAGAAATTTTATTAAGCTAATAGTGACTATAAGAACTAGTATGAATTTAGTTTTTAAATTTAAGATTTAAAAACAGAATAAAATCAGTTTTTTTATTATTATTTTATTTTTATTTGTCATGCAGTTGATGATGACTGTTATGGCTACATGTTAAAGAATCTGTTCCATTATAACCAATCTGTACAAAAGTCCCTAATTATCTTTTAGTCTAGTGAATACTCTCATTACAGCACCTTTGTTGTTACACACTTTGAGGGATTGCTGTAATGAGTGTTAACTGCATCAAGAAGCATGTTTATTACTCATAAATTTCACAGCATTTGTACTTATATTATAATTTTAGAATGGATAGATAATACAAAGAAAAAAAATCTGATGTGTACACCACATGACTTCCTTGTACGGAATATTAAATTATACACATTTTTTCTTGCATTTCATTTAAACTTATTGGATTGAATTAAATCTACTTCGCCGACAGCGCATAAACCACAATAGAATATATGCATTCTTTAAAATTCACTCTAATATTTGTTTACCTTAGCGACACTCTGGCGCTAGATTCACTTAACAGTATTATATTTCATTCATATTATAACTCATAATGAACAAAATTTATTTCATTTAAAGAATATAATTATCTAATCGTTGCCTATTCAAATACTATAATAAAGCTAGAATGATGTATAAAGGAAATTAAGCAAACAAAACAAAAAAGAAACAGTTTTTCACAGACGATTGAGTATTTCTCATTAAATTAATTCAGTTCTCACTTCGCGAGAAGGTAAAAATACATAAAAACTAAAAATATCTGTATTAAAAATTACAAAGTAAATCTTAAACACTTATTTCCTCAAAAAAATTTCAGAAAAGATTAAGCATGATTTAATTGGCAATAATAAATGAAGGCGTTATCTTTGCTGTTGCAAGCTAAGTTTCTCTAGATTGGCAACAAATCCACTAGTTCTGTTTCAAATGTAAACAATCAATGGCCGCCGTAAAAAAAGGCTTAGCAGCACTTAAACAACTTTAAAATTGTTGATAATTCTAAAACTATTGCATACAGATTTACTAAAGACATAAAAACCTTAATCAGAAGATAAAAGCAAAAAATGTACAATTTACAAACATATAAAAGTAAAGAAACTGAGATGACTGAGCCGGGTAACAGAGTGGATATATATATATAAACATATTTATATACGTTTGGTGCGGCTGATTGCAACCAAAATACGAGGTGCACATCTACATGTTATAGCAGTCCTATACACAAAATTTCAACGTTCTGAGGCTACTCGTTTTTGAGTTATGCGAGATACGTACATTCGTACAGACGCCACGAAAAATTCTCTTCAGAATTAATTTTAAAACAGTTTTATAATTTTCTTGGAGGAAACGAGTCTTTTATTCTGTCCTTACATACAGATATCACGCAAAAACATCGTTAAATTGCGTTCGATAGCGATCAAAATGGATATTTTCGTTGAAATATGATGCCTGAAACTTTTCGCGATTACAATACTTCCTTTTTACTTCATACAAGGAAGTAAAAAATAATTTAAAATGTCAAATTAATGGCAAAAATTTAGTTTAAGCTTTTTGTTGATGCTAGAAACCGCAGATATTACTTGAACTACATAAGTTAAAATTTAAATCACGAAATGGAGGAAAATAAAATAAATATGAGAATTTCATTAGATAGCATAATAAAACTACATATATAAGCAGTCCATTGCAAACTACCTGAATAAAGTCATCAAATTAGTTTAAGGAAATGTAATAATAAAACAAAATGATATTTTGTGCAGTTTTGAACTTGCAAGGTTCTTTATAAGAAAGTTAAAAACTTTTTTTAAAAATAAAAACCTGTTACAAATTTAAATGTATACTAAATAATCATAAGGTTTTTTTTGGGGGGAGAGGGGTGTATACATAATTGAAAAAAATATATATGTATGTTCTAAAATAAGCCATTTGCATTTCTAATTTTTTCAACTTTTGATGACTGGCTGAAAAAGAAATATCTTATTAGAAATAATGTTCTGATGTTCTTAAAATAGAGAAATTGAATGCCAAAGTAAACAAAGAATTTCCAGTGTTTATATAAAAGAACTGTGATTAGATCCCCCCCCCTCAGTTTTCTCCTTTTTTGGAGATTGGGAGGAGAAATCTGAAAAGAACATTTGTAAAATTTTGGGCCATTTCTGGCAAGTTGTCAGATTTTATAATGCAGAATCTGCGTATAAATATCCAACAAATAAAATAATAAAATGTATAAATATAATAAAACATGAATATTAAAATATGTAAGGATTTTAAGTTGATGGTTTATAAGATGAGATGTGTAGGATGTTCAAAATCTTAATTATGTGTTGTGTTGAAATTACCATTGAATAAAATAAAAAAATTAATTTAAATATATAAATGATTAAAATTCTCTAGTAGCTTATCCTTGTCCCTCTTAAAATTTTATGTTTTTAGTAGGAAGTTTAAAGATTTCATTAATTTGCTATTAGAAAAATATTTTAACTAAAGGTGAACGAATTAGTGGTAAATTTATTTTAAAATATTGGGTGGAAAAAAGGTAAATATGGTAATTTTATAAAATATTAAGCTTTCATAATTTTGGCAGTTAGTGAGTGGTTTTGAGTTGTTTAAATATTTTCAGAATTCATACACATAATAACCAAATTTTATCTGCTTTTACAGAATCAGTGAAAAGATAGTCAAATAAAATAGATACCATCTAAATGCATATAAATTAGAATTATCACAATTATATTACTAAGTGTATTTATGACATTGAATTAATTTGCTTTGTAAATTTAATAACTACAATTGTATTTTATATTTTTATTTGGACAGTTGCAAAATATTGCACAGTTATGTAATGTCATTTATTTTTATATTATTTCTATTAAGATTTCATCTATTTTTTAAAGGTATTAGTGTCTTAATTTTAGAAATTTATACTATCAATTCATTATTGTTAGCAGACATTTTATGTAACCAACCAGTTTATTTAAAAAATATTTTGTGATGTTATTTTTTTATTTTAGGACAATGAAAGTGCTGTTGAATTTGCTAATAGAGTGAAAGCTGAAATAGCTCGTAAAGGAGGCCTTGTAGATCTCATGTGGTATGAATATGCATTCAGTTTTTATTAAAGCTTGTGTTGTGCATGTGCAGAGTATATTTATGTATTTTATTTGGCATTTCCATTCTTGGTTTGTGAAAAACTAATCACATCAAACTGAAAATCAAAATAAGAAACTAATTATTATGATTTTCATTGTATTGCACATGTAAAGAATTAACACTTGCTATCTAGAATATTTATAAAAAAAAACTGGTAGTATATTTCAGATTATAAAATTACAGTCAGCTTCCAATTTGCCAGTCTAATACAGGGGACAGTGTTCACGGTTAATCCAAAGTCCACAGGAAAGAGGAATAACTTACCAGCACTGAAAAGGAATTTAATTGGGATAATAAATTCATTTTGTTAAATCAGTATTCAAAACAAGAAGAATATCATTAGATAAGAAGAGATTAATTTATAAATTACTATGACATCATTTACACTGCTGGCCATTAAAATTGCTACACAAGAAGAGAAAGAAAATAGCAAAATCTTAATTACTGTACATGCACAGTATAGTAGGAGGAAAACATGATTAAATTTCCAGGTGATTTGGGATACACAACATGCAGAATTCAGAACACAGATCTGCCACCTTTAGAAGTAACAGTGGCTGTAATCTCATTGGGCATTTAATTGAACTGAGCTTGGATGACAGATATGGGTATTTCAATCCATGCGGTGTGAAAGTTCATATTTGTAGTAGATAGTGAGTGATAACATGCCAGCTTCTCGGCATCTCATGACCAGATGTTCTAAATAGGTGAGGGGTCTAAAGAATATACTGACCAGGCCAACAGTTGAACAACCTGTATATTGAGGAAAGTCAGGATGGCACAGGCAACATGCAGTCATGCATTATCTGGTTGAAAGATGGTGCCACTCAAGCCAAAGATAGGACATGGCCTGTGTAATTTTATATGAATTGTAATGATGGCTCTTCACATTACTGGCTATGCAAACAATAGATGATCGTGAAATGCACCCAATGTGCCTCAAGGTGCTGGGCACATATGACGAGGATGAGTGAAAGCTAGTAACGCTCATTCTCCTTTCCACACATGAATATGTCCATCTTCATACTATGTGCAGAATCAGGATTCATCTGTAAAGATAATGTCATGGCACTCCTCTGTCCAGTGTCATCATTCGTTTCAGTGCTGTAGGCATGCTTGTGTCTGCTGCAGTATCAAGGGTTGCCATGCTGACAGTCCATCATGCTGCGAGCAGTGTCGTGTTGAGTATGTGGACACTTATCTTGCACATGAGCCTGACTTGGTATATGATGTGGCTGTACATTCCTGCAAGTTTGAGAGGATGACTTGTCACTCTTCAGGCATCTCTGTCAATTTGCGGTTGAAGTCCTGCATGTCCTTCAGTGTATGCCTCCTGGACCCATCAGTTCCATGTTTGCCTGACAGTAATGGCATCCTGATCACTATGAGCAGCAATATCGCAAAGCAATAAACCACAGTCCCAAATGGCCATGATCCTGCCATTGTCTAATTCCAACACATGCTGTTTGAAGTTTTTCTCTCTTACGATAGACGTTAAAATGACATGTACACAAACAACCAATATTCAGATATGATTCCCAAATAAGAAACCTGTTCTGCAGTCCTCTCATTTATATATACTATCTTCCCATTTATGCATTACTCATATATGCTTGTGCTGGAATGCTAATCATTTGCATATCCCGCAAATGTGATACCTTTTATTCAAATTTGACATTTGTTACTTGCTGCCTTCATGGTGTAACAATGTTAATGGCTGGCAGTGCATTATCATAGCTGCTAACACACTTTTTGTTTCACTTTTGAAATTTCAATGTTTTGCATTCATGGTTTGTGATACTAATTTTTCTAGCATTCAGTAAACAAACATACATATGTGTGTGCTTAAGGAAAAAAAAGGATTTATTTTCAGGTAATTGGAAGTTATTTCTAATTCTTATGAAACTTATATCTTAGTTGCAAAACTTCTAAAGTCTGTTTTAATGTAAAAATGTTATATATATTTTTCTCACTCCCTGTGCATAAACACAGTTAGAGAGATACAATTTGCCTTTAAAAGCTACTTAACCTTTTAATCCGTTGATATACAATGACTATGATTTATTGTTAATGTCAAAATAGATTTTGATGTGTGCCGGATGTCATAATGCTGAAATTGGCATAAGTATAATTTTGATTAAAAGTATGGAGTTTCTTCACAGTTGGGTGAAATTAAATGGAGTCTTTTCATTAGCATAGTTAAAAAGGGCATGCAGCAAAATGTCTTATGGAAGAATTTTTTTCATAAAATCTTTAGAGTCTTAAATTAGAGTTAACCCTCATTTACACAAATACTCACCGAGACAAAAGAATTATTTGTATTAAAAGTATTTCATCTGATCTGAAAATAGCTGAATGAGAGAGTGAACAACAGTAATAAAAAATGTGTAGTAGATATACATTTTTAAAGTAAGACATTTTTAAAGATTAGTAGATATACATTTTTAAACAAAGCTCATACTGTGTAACATAGATGAGAATTTTTACACCTTTTTACTGCATATTAATATGTTTTAATATAATGTTAATTTGCTCCAGGACAATTACTTAAATTGCTTTTACATTAAAAATATATCAAATTGTTTTAAAAAAATCGAAATTTCATTTTCATTTGCTTTTTATAGCTAGTCGTCAAAAGTCATTTATTTTATCCATTTTTTCTAAAGCAATCTTGGAATTTGTTGCATCTGAGATGAACCTTGTATCATGTGTATTTGATAATTATTTCCATTTTATTATTGGCCCATTCAGCATGAATTTATTAGTGGCAATGTTTGAAACAGATGACACCAGTAGAGGTTGATATCCTTAGTTGCTCTGCATTGGTCAGAATAGAATCTGCAGTCTCTTGATTCATACTCAAAAGTTGCATATCACAAACAGTATGGAGCAGTGTCTTTTCTCTGTGGTGACAAAGCCATTACATATCACTAAACTGGCGTACAATTTATATTGCAGTAAAAGCTTCAGGCATGCTAGCTGGATTATCATTTTAAAAATTGCTATCATTGCCTGTGTGTGTATCTAGAAAATAATAATTATTTTTTAATAAAAGACTCATCATGCTATTAATGGTGTCAGTAATTTCAGTGTCTATTGACACATGGCACATCTTGATATTGAGACATATTCATTAGATGTAAAAAATTCTAAAGGCGCACTGCAAGCTTATATTTCTTTCATATCATATTCAGTCTATTGTTCCATTATGATATTTCCTGTCATAGTACTGTCATTTCTAACTAGTTCTACTTTGCTGAAATAGTCGACTGTTATTTCTGGAGTTATTTCTTGCATGCAGTGTTTCTAAGCAACATCAAAGCATTCACTAAATGTATGCTGAACTTCTCTCTCTCTTTTTTTTTTTTTTTTTGAAGGGGGGTTCAATTTAACATGAACCACACCATTTAGAATTTTTTTCCTAAGGTCAGTAATTCTGCATTTTTAACACATTTCTTACAATAAAGCAATTTAGCTTTGAAACAATCCAAGAAGCTGCTATTCTTCATAAAATACTCATTTGAGTGGACCAAAATATAACAACCTTTAGTGCACAGGGCTAGTGGAAATAAAAATGCGAAATGCCTTCCAATACCAAAGTGACCCTTTGGAGACAGAATAGGGTATCAGAATAAAAGGAAAATATAATAGCAATCACCTTTTGAAAAGTAGCATTATTTCTATCTTTTGCAGAGTTTTTCTCTTTAAAAAAAGAATAAAATTTGAGTAGTTGCATAGGGTTAGTCTTAAAAATACATTTTATTCATACTAATCAGAGAAATAAATAATATGATTCATTGATTATTAATAGTTTGGGTTGAAAGGTATTGTTAAAAAAAACTAAAAACTTTGCTATTCATATAACAATTTGAGTGGGAATAAGGCAACAATTCATGTTAAAATTATTTATCATGAAGCATATATGCATCAATAAGGTTTGATTTTGTATTTCCTGAACCAAGTTAAAATGAAAGAGAAAAGCCGTTGATGTAGAAAGCATAATATTGAATGTGAAAGGTGATGAGGAAAAGTATAAGCTATTATTTTATATGGTTAGAAATGTTACCGGCATAAGTTTACCTTCTTTATAGGAACTGTGTAGCACGAATGTTGAGGCTGTTTGTGTCTGGATGATTTTGTATTTTATTTTCATTTGTTCATAGATCACATATTGCCCAAATATAGACTTTTAACTACTTTCCATAGTTTCTATGGAAATTCCTTAAAAACTAAGCAATAAAAGATACCTAAATTGTGACAGACAGTGTATATGTGTGTGTGTGTGGGGGGGGGAATTGTATTTCAACAAAATTTAGGTGCGAAAGCTCTTGACCTGTTCTATTCAAAGCATAAACTTGTTAGCAAGTGAAGAACCATACTATAGAAAAAGATTATCTAATTCAAGCTTGTGAAAGCATACTAATCTTTACATTCAAAATTCATTTTGAATTATAAGTGTTCTTGTTGATGATTATATGTATATTTCTTATCTTTGTCTAATTATTATTTCTGTGTGGGAATCTGAATCCAAAAACGTCATAGGTTTATGAATTCTCATTTCTTCTATGATTATTTGCGATTTAAACTTTTTTTGCTTCAATAATGTTAGTAGTTACAGCTGCTTGAGTAATAAAAAGAAAATTTCTAATTAAGTATGCATATAATATATAAGAAGTATTTTAAATTATTCATTTTTTATATTTTTAGGTTTTAAGTGCAATTAAATTTAATGGTTAATTAAAAAAATGTGTCTTGCATTCAAAGCTATAAACATTTCATTCATGCAATGATTACTGACAAGTTTTGTTGTGCTCAAGCAGTTTATTTATAACATTGTCATGGTATGTAATAATGTTCTTTTGGGTGTCCAAAAACTGGACATTTTTTTATGAATTTTTGTGTTAAGTTGCCTATACTATTTTTCATTATGATTGATTTGTC